TGTTTCATTCTCTTGTATATAAGGTTGCTATGAGTCAGTACCAACACAATGGCACCTAACAACAACAGTCCATTCAAACATGGAACCCAGTCCCAGCCACCATCTAACTGCAACAGTTGAGAGTCCCCAAGCAAGACAATAGGAGTACTGTCCAGCTAAGCCTAGTTAACCCATGTGATCATAAAATAAAGGGTAAATTGCTATTTTGAATCATTAACTTTGGAGTAATTGGTTAAACAGCAGTAAATAACTAAAACAAAATTTAAAACCATCTCCCACAAAATTCCAAAAGTTGGATGATGACAAGAAAAATCTTTCAGAACCTGGAATAAAAAGACAAACAGATGGAATTCAGAAATAATATAAGAGAGACAATAATCTGGTGCTCACTGTTCCACTGCTATTCATACGGTTTGCAATGACTAAATATTCTCCTTCCTCCTAGTCTTTTTCTGGAAGTTCAGATGAAATCTGTCCACCATGGGTGACCCTGCTGGTATTTAAAATACCAGTGGCAGAGCTTCCAGAATCACAGTAACACACAAGCCACCAGAGTACAACAAACTGACAGATAAGTGGAAGAGAATATTGAAAAGTACCATGTACTGCCAAAAGAACAAACAGATCTGTGTTAGAAGAAGTACAGCCAGAATGCTCCTTGAAAGCCAGTTTGGCCAGACTTTGTCTCTCATACTCTGGATATATTATCAGGACCAGTCACTGGAGAAGGACATCATGTTTGGTAAAGTGAATTGGCACACTGGCAGCAGCAGTGGGCCCAGGTAGCAACGATTATGAGGTTGGCCCAGGACCAGGCATTGTTTCATTCTGTTGTGCACAGCGTCACTATGAGTCGGTACCAACTCTGTGGCACCTAACTACAACAACATTAGAGAGACAAAGATTCAAGACAGGAGGTCTAAAAATCCAGGTAGCAAGTACTCAAAGATGAACTTATAAAGAAAATGGAAAGGAAAAGTTATTACAGAGGGGGGGGGAAAATACAAGAACATTTCCCCTCAAGGTGAAATATTCAAGATTTCAAATTTGGAAAAGGCCCACTGTATGCCGAACACAATAAATAGAGGGGGGGTGGGGGGCAGAAAAACTCCACAACTAATTATATTTTCTAGAAGCTTTTAGAGAGAAAGTCACTAAATAATAGTGACTCAGAATGGCATCAACATCCTAATCTTCAAAATTCTAAGAAAAATCTATTTTCAACCTAGAATTATAGATTCAACCAAACCATCAAGAGTGTGGACAGAATGTAACAGCAGTTAAAATTTACTGGACATTCACTATGCTCCAGGTACTATTCTAAATGACTTACATGTGTCAAACTATTTGCCCCTAACTCCTCCAAATTATAAAACCAATACCCAACCCTCTGCTATCAAGTTGAGTCAGATTCAAAGAGACCCTATAGAATACAGAATTGTTCCTTTTGATCTCTAAGGCTGTAACTCTGAAACAAGATGAGGCTGTCTGTTCCCGTAAAGTTTTACAGTCTTGGAAACTCTATTTAGGATTGCTATACTTAAACTCAACTCAGTGGCAGTGGGTTTGTTTTCTTCAATCTTGAGAGAAGCACACTGCCGTGATCTTTCTCGTATGGCGTGGCTTCATCCACTGACCTTCTGATTAGCAGCAGGGCTCCTTCCTCCCAAAATACACACACTACTTACTATTCTCCTGGGTCCTAACTATGGATAACATTGCAAAGAAGGGGCACTCCATAACACTTTACCCATGCTTATGAGGAACCTGTATGGAGACCAAGAAGCATTCATTTGAACAGAACAAGGGAATACTGAATAGTTCTAAATCAGAAAAGGTGTGTTACAGGGTTGTATCCTTTCACTAAACTTGTTCAGTCTTTATGCTGAGTAAATAACAAGGCATCAAGATTAGAGGAAGACACATTAGCAATCTGTGATATGCAGATGACAAAACTTTGCTTGCTAGAATTTACTGATAAAGATCAAAGACTACAGCCTTCAATATGGACTGGGCCTCAATGGTAAACAAAACTCCTCACAATTGGATCAACTGTGATATCGTAATAAAAGAGAAATGAATGAAACTGTCAAAGACGTCATTTTACTTGAATCTACAATCAACATTCATGGAAGTAGCAGTCAAGAAATCATTAGTGTACTGCTGCTGTATAAAGACCTCTTTAAGGCGCTCTAGTAAACATAGTGGTTATGAGTTGGGCTGTGAACCTCAAAGTCAGCAGTTCGAGACTACCAGCCATTCCGCAGGAGAAAGATGAGGCTTTCTGCACCCATAAAGATTTACAGCCTCAGAAACCCTGTACGGGGTCGGCCATAGGGTGGAACCAACTCTACAGCACACCACCACCACCACAGTGTTAATGAACTAAGATGTCACTTTTTCTATGGTATTTTTATTCGCCATATGCATGCAAAAGCTGGACAATGGATAAGGAAGATGGGAGAAGAAGTGATGCATTTGAATTATGGTGTTGTTGAAGAATAATGAAAGTGCATGGATTGCCAAAAGAAAAAACAAGACTGTATTAGAAGCACAACCAGAATGCTCTTTAGTATGAATGGCAAGACTTCATTTCTCTTAATTTGGACATGTCAGAAAGGGCCAGTCCCTGGAGAAGATAGATCATCAGCATACTTGGTAAAGTGGAGGGTCAATGGAAAAAGAGGATGACCCTCAAAGAGACAGATTAACACAGTGGCAGCAACAGAGGGCTCAAAAAAAAAAAAAAAAAAAAATGTGAGGATGATATAGGACTGGGCAGTGTTTCTTTTATGCACAGGTTCACTGTAACTCATGGCACATAACAATATAACAACAAAATGGGGAATGAATGCACATAGTTAGTTGTTAGAGAATTAGCCCAAGGTCATATGGCTAACAATCAGCAGAATCAAGATTCAAAACCATGACGGTCTTACTCTAAACCCCACACTCTTAACTACTTCTTTGGAAGTTAAAAATTTGTATTTTAGTTGAGGATGTACTCAGGGAAAATTGAGAACGTGCAAACCAATAAAGGTATGAGATCCAGGAAACAGTGATCTACCCTAGAAGAGCACAACCAAATATTTCAAGGTAACAGCTGTAGAACCAGGCCAGAAAATACACTCACCCAAGATCGGTGTTAAAGAACCAAAAGCTAGAGGGTGATGTCACAGAAAAGGAACAGAACAAAACTTTTTTAAACTAAGAATAATTATTATAAGTAAGACATTGTAAAGCAAAAATTTATACAAGAAAAGAAACTTGGCTCTACATTACAAAGTCCTAATATAAATAGTAATTACTCATTATGACTAAAAATGTTTTATGTAGATTGAGAGGGGAGGTGGGTAGGTGAGTAGGTGGTAGAAGAGCTAAATCCTCATCTACTTTAGTAAAAAAGTCAATCAACTATGACTAAATAGGTAAGTCCAGAAATAAACTTTATTTGGATATACAGAAATAATTACCAAAAAACAAAAAGGGCTAAGAGTTTAAAATGATTCATTCTAAATGAACAAAAGGATGCAAGCAATTATTTTTTATTTAAACCTTTTGGCATTATTGGATTTAACTATGCATGCAGCGTTTTGATAGTAAATAAAAACAGAAAAGTTTTAAAAGCAAAAGTGAAATAACTTTGGAAAAATATGTGCCCAATGGATGGTCTTTTTCTTCTAGAAAGAAAGCTGCAATGGAGATGGGAGAGCCAATTTTAGCCTGTTAAGTGCCACTGAGTCAGTTCCGACTCAGTGACCATGTATATAAAGGGTTTTGGAGGAGCAGCTGGTAGGTTTCAACCGCCACCTTGCAATGCAAATCGACCTTGCAGTCCAATGCTTATCCTACAGCACCACACCAGAACTCCTACTTTTTAGATTTGTTAAGTGCCATCAAGTTGGTTATAGCTCATAGAGACCCATATTAGATAGCATACAAAACTGGGTACTAATCAGTCCTCTCTAAGTTAGTATAGGTCTCTTATCAGCCTCAAATCAATGGTCAAGAGTAGAGGTCTGAACCTTGATTAAATACAGAATCACCTAGAGAATATTCAAAAATAAAAAATCTATTCCTAGACTCCATCCCATATCAATTAAAACAGAATCTCTGAAGAACAGAGGTAAAAACTCCCAGATTGATTCTACTGTGCAGTTAGTTAATGTTGGAAATTACTGGTTTAGGAGTAAGTAGAAAGTCACTGAAAAAGAGGACTCTCAATGAAACTGACTGAAACAGTGGCTCCAAGACTCAAGCATAGCCAACAATAATGGTATGTGATCAGGTTATGTCTCACTCTGTTGTACACATGTTGTACATTCTGTTCCCTATAGATGGGAAGCCAGCACCTAACAATAACAGGAATACAGGCAGCCTTGGTATCTAAAACAGGTAAAACTGAACTTGTTTTAAGTATTGGCTTGCTTAAGGATTGGTCTTCCCTCTTTCTCCCTTATTCAAAGTAAATAAAGATAAAGGGTCATAAGAGAAGAGAAGAAAGCATTTAGGAATTCAAAGAAATAGACTACTTTTTAAAGTAAAAGTGACAGTGAGCTGGTAGAATTTGTGCTTCTCAGAGGAGGTAACACTTGGGTTCAGAGATGGCATCTAGGTAAAAGTAATTAAATGAGCAAAGGCTAACAATCAAAGAAGCAAGGAACTTATGGAAACCAGAAATATTTATAACAATAAGGTGGAGGAGAGGCAATTGTTTGCCTGTCATGGAAAATACTAGCAAATTGCTCCTAAGATGAAAATGGTTATTTCCAGAATTTAAAACAATTCAACACAAATACAGAAACTAACATAGCTTCTAAATAAATCATAATAATAAAAAGAAATTTCATCCTAGTTTTACTTTTGCTTGAGAATATTTATTTTAGCTCTTGAACACTGGAGAATATTTTACTTTACCTGACCCGTGGGTAGTGGTTGATCTAGCATCTCAACATCCAGGTGCTTAGGAAGGTTATATAATCTGCAGAGTTCACATATCAACCACTTCAATTGCTGACGAAGCTATAAAACACATTTCAGTAAATGAGCATTATGTTAAAGAGCCCTTAGAAGACATGAATAATGCTAAGACTAATGTATTAAATCCAGTAGGAAATGAAAAAAGCTTGTTAACTGCTCAACTGCAGCCTACAGATAAATTAAATTTTTAACAGACAAATTTTGGGGCTGCTAGGTTAAGAAAAGTTATTGTGGCTTGGGTGCAATTCTTACAACTGACACCTAGGAGAACAAAAAGACAGAGAAAAGGGAGCTTCGGCTGGTGTACAATTTCCAGTTCCTAACTTCTGTTCTTACCCATTTAACAACTTCAGACCAGAGCACATTAATGCATTAAGAGGTGCACCACTTGGGGCTAGAGAGCTGTATACTCCACAGTCACAGTCATTAGAAGCAGAGAGGCATTGTGGTCTAGCAGACAGAACCCTAGAATCTAGATGACCCTGAACACACACATTCTGCATTTGAGTCTCCCAACCTGTAAAACCAGAAGAAAATTAGAATCTCCTTAAAAATGATAGATGAAATGTAATCTGTGAAAACACTTGGCACTTAGGCTCTTGAGTATTTGTTGAAAGAATTCACTAGGAAAACTGCAAAGAATTATTCCTTAAATGTTTAATTCCAGATTTTTTTTGGTAGCAGTTTACTTAAAGCAAAATAAATTTTATGTGCAAATACGTTTTTCTTTGTTTATAAAAAAAGACTTCTCCTCCATATATTTGCTTAGCAATTACAATTTAAGAAGAATAGTCAAAACATAGTAAATTCGAAAGGGAGCTAATAAATTAACAACTTAATGTCATTTTGTCAAGAACATTTTCCTGGGTGTCTCTACTAAAAAAAGAGAGGAAGAGAAAGAGCAGGTTTGTGAAGGACCAAGAAGACATATACATGATTAGAACAGGTTAAACAAAGAAAAGAACGAGTCTTTTCAAAGTGGACAAAGAAGCAAGTAAAAATGAGGAAGGTTGAGAAGTAAATTAGGATGAAACAAAAATCCTCATGCTTACAAGGAAGTACAGCCCCAGTGTGGATTTGTTCTCCATCCAATAAGCTCTGTTTTGTGCTAAATGCATACTGAAGACAAGGCAGGGTGACCTGGGCACTCGAGTCCTGCCCAGGAGGAACCACAAAGAGTGCTGTGGGAAAGGCAGCGGAGTGGTAGAGGCATACTAAGCAACAAGGAAAACATAATGGTACATTTTCCAGGAATCTCAATTTTCAGCTTTTTAAAAATTTAAAGCCTGTGTTGGCGGCATGGGGGAAACAACAAGATCATAGGGAAGGAGTCAAGAAATATTAGAAGGTAGACAGACAGTTCTTAGAAACTGACCAGTCAGTTTGGGAAGGTTGGTAAACAGGTAAAAAAAGAACTCTAAGATAGTTCATAGTTGCAGGTTTCAGGCTTGAGTGACTTGTTAACTAGTTCATTTTGCCCCATTTACAATCACAAAGATAATTATGAAGGAGAAACAGTATTTTAGGAGGTGGGGGTGGTGTGGAGTGTCCAGAGACAGGTGAGTCTAAATTTAGATGTAATCATTTTGAACTCCCATGGCACATCTGAGTGAGAGATTCCAAGAGACACATCATATGAGTGTGAATTCAGGAGATGCATTTTAACTAGAGATACAGACTTTGGAATCCTGGAATTGAGATCACGACTTCAGTAATGAGACTAGAAGAGGTTACTCAGAATAAGCACAGAAATGAGAAGAGAAGAAACAAACAGACCAAGGACAGAAAGCTCAGAGGATACCAAAGCAGTATAATAAAAGACAGAAAACAAAAATAGTTAACAGCAGTCTGATGGATGTCTCCAGTACTTGATTAGTTCCTAGAGGGTAGGGACATTTGTCTTTACATACTTACATACGTATCACAGAACCTGGCAAAGAAACCAGTCATTTAAACATATAATTTTTTATCTTTTCTGTGTTTCACTAATAATAGTTTCCTGTATTCATTCAGCAAGGGGGGTATATAAATACATAAACTAGCATGTTGTTGTCGTTAAGTGCCATTGATTCATAGCGACCCTGTAAAGGGTTTTTGAGGAGCGACTGGTGAGTTTGAACCACTGATCTTGTGGTTCAAACCAACCTTGTGGTTGAGTGCTTAACCTACAGCAGAGCATACCAGGACTCCATAAAATAGCATAGATACAGATTTTTCACAACACTGTAATACAAAAGGGGCCAGACTATATTCTATGCCTTGCTATTTTACTTAGTATACTTGAAAACTTATATATGCTTTTATTGAAAAAATCAGTTACATTCTTTTTAATTATAATGTAATATTATATCATAAAACTATGTATTGTAATTTTATTTAGCCAGCTCCTTATTGATAAACATTTAGTAATGAATGTTTGTTAAATGGAAGAATGTCTCAACAGGAAATAATCAACAGTGTGAAAATACTGCAGATAGGCAATTTAAGGAATAAAAGGGCCGGATTATAGTGCACTGAGGGCCGTATCCAGATGATCATGAGTGAAATGAACTACAGAGGAGGAAAGCTAGCTTCTTCTCTCAGAGACAAGTCTATGAGAAAACAAACAGTGGCTATAACATAGAGGGTGGGGTATGTTTTCCCCTTTATGTTTCAAATAGTCACGAAAAATAGAAATGAAAGATAATGGAATTTTTTCTAGGAACTTTTTGAAACTCCATATTTCATTTAACATCACACTATAAGCATTTTTTAACTGAATAGTTCAGACATTGTTGTCGTTAAGTGCCGTCAAGTCAGTTCTGACTCATAGTGACCCTGTATAGGATTTTCAAGGAGTATCTGGTGGATTTGAACTACTGACCTTGTGTTTAGCAGTCCAGTGCTTATTTTACAGCACTACAATAAAATTAGTTAAATAGCTGAAATCCTACTGATGTAATAGACCACTAATTTTACTATCATGAAGCTGGTATCTTTAGATCTTTAGAGGTAATCGCCCAAAAAGGAGGGCAACAGGATAGTAGTCCATCATCTTTTCCCTCTTGCTGTCCCCTGGCTGAGTATGTGAGCACGTATCTGTCTGGCTTTTTATTTTTACCATTTATGGCTCTCTATACTAGTCTTAAAGGAGCTCTGGTAGCGTAGTGGTACAAATTAGGCTGCAAACCACAAGGTCAGCAGTTCAAAACTACCAGCTGTTCCATAGGAGAGAAATGAGGCTTTCTGCTCCCATAAAGATTTACAGCCTCGGAAACCCTGTACAGGGTCGCTATGGGTCGGAATCGACTAGATGGCACTTAACAACACCAACATACTAGTCTTAAGCTCTGGTAGCGTAATGGTTACGAATCAGGGTGCTAACCTCAAGGTCGGCAGTTCAAAACTACCAGCGGTTCCGCAGGAGAACGATGAGGCATTTTACTCCCGTAAACATTCACAGCCTCAGAAACCCTGTGCAGGGTCACTATGAGTCGGAACCGACTCCACAGTACTTAACAACAACAACAACATACTAGTCTTAAGGAGCTCTGGTAGCGTAGCGTTACGAATCAGGCTGGGAACCTCAAGGTCAGCAGTTCAAAACTACCAGCTGTTCCACGGGAGAAAGATGAAGCTTTCTGCTCCCGTAAAGATTTACAGCCTCGGAAACCCTATACCGGGTCGCTATGAGACGGAACTGACTCCACGGCACATAACCACCAGCATCACTCTGGTCTTAACTCTTCAAATAAGAGTGCTTTACAAACATCTGTTCTTCTTTTCTTAATTTTACTAAATGTTCTTAAGTACCATCGAGTTGTTTCTGGCTCATACCAAGCCTGTATAGGGTTTCCAAGGAGCAGCTGGTGGGTTTGAACTGCCAGTCTTGCAGTTCAAACTGACTTTGTGGTACAGTGCTTATCCTACATAGATGTGTTTAAACCATTTATAACTTATTCTGACTAAAATTTCCAAATGATCAGTTGGGAAAACAATCTATCCTTTCCTTAAGAAGTAAGTGGGAGACAAAGTGTTCAGTCACAATCAACTTGAAGGCAATGTCTAACTGAGCAAGTCTCTCCTCATTACCTCTATTTAAACATCATTTTCCTTTTTATCTATATATTGCTATTTACCTTTCTAAACTGAAAAGCCATTTTGTCAAATTACGAAACTCTGATGGAATTTTATGACAGTGTGTGAGATGAATAAGGAGATATGGGAAGAATTCCTGCATTTACAATATGAAGTCTGCCCCTCCTCCAGGAACATACAATTTTTTTATTACACTTCTTGATACAAGTTCTCTACACTTATGTTTATTACTACGTATTTAACTTTTGCTGTCACTGTTAATAAAATAACTTTCTAGAATATTTTCTGTTTATATCTTAAGATTTGGGAAAGCAACTGATTTTTATATACTATAGTCAGTCACTTTGAAAAATTGTTATTTTCAGGTAAACAATTACATATATGATTGGTATTTTTCAATGAGAATTACATGACATCATGAGAATATGCAATGTTAATGTTTAAAACTATAACCCAAAGAAGAAGAAGAAAAACATACACACCCATACACACAATATGGTCTCAACTATTTATACATATAAGGGGATTTCAAAAAAAGTTCACCAAAAAATCCAATTATCTCTTCATTCCATTTTTCCACAAACTTTTTGAAGGCCCCTCAGTGAGTCATATGACTCGTGAAGACCTCATGTGTGTCAGAGCATACCTGTGCTCCATAGACTTGAATTTTCAATGGCCAGTGTTTGAAAAACAGATCACCAGGCCTTTCTTCTGAGGTACCTCAGGGGGCTCAAACCTCCCACCTTCTGGTTAGCATGAGCGTATAAGTATTTTATTAGCAAAGGGACAAACAAGCATTCACAGGAAACAACTATCATATCAACAGTGATAATCATGTCAAGTACAGAAATGATGAGAATTTTTTATTTTCTTCCTCTTGTTCTCTATTTTACTGTGGTCATTTATTGTTTTCATAATTAGAGAAAACAGTTCTTTTTTAAGTTTGTAAAGTGGAAAGTTATATTTCTTTGTTGTTGCTGCTGTTGTTAAGTACCACAGAGTCGGTTCTGACTCATAGCGACCCTGTACAGGGTTTTCGAAGATTTAAAAAAAAAACAAAAAACTGTGGGAGCAGAAAGCCTCATCTTTCCTCCATTAAGTTTCTTTATATATATTAAAAAAGATTTTTTTCTACTTGAATACCTTTAGCTATTACTAGAGACATAAGAAGCCTTAACAGAAAAAGCAATTCTCTCACACTAATTGGGTATCCTTTTATCATTAATTCCCCTCACATCTACCGCTTATCTTCTGTCATTTTTCTTCTTTCCACCCTAGCTAGTTGTCCTTACAGGAAGCACTTGCTGGATTTAACGGTTAGACTTCAAGGAGAAAAGACTACTTAATTCCAGGTCTAGATTAAGGCGAAAGCTGTAAGGAGTAAAATCAAAAGTGAGGGAGGAAACAAGTGAATCTGAAAGACTAAAAGGAAACCCAGTTTCTAGCCCCTCTTTATTAGTCATGCTTTTACATCATATTACCTCAACAATTTTTATATACAATGTTCATGAAGGAAAGAAAAAATTACTTTGCTTATTTTCTCACCGAATTGCTGTTTTTCGTATCTTCAAGACGTTCCAGAACAGATGTCAGATTTGGATCATCGGAGTCCACGAACCATATTGGTGACGATGATGGGTAAGATTCCTGTGGTGAAGACACCTATGTTAAACATTGATTTACACACAGACTCTGCTGGACAAGCAATTCAACGATAAGGCAAAGTGGCAAGATGACCATGAATTTAAGTAAAATGGATCAGAGAGAAATAAAGCAGCACATTAAAATACAGGCAAGAGAAAAACAATCGTCTTTTTAGGGACTGTTTTAAAACACAAAGCTGCTAAATTTTATGATTTAGTCTTACCTGTTCCATGTTATATAATTTGTAGCTAAAAATTATGTTGTGCTCAAGTAACAAAGATGGGCTTCTGTGCTTGACAAGGAATGCTCTATCCCAACTTGTATTCTCCAACTTTCACATTTTATTTAAAGAATTTTACAGTCAGTGTTGTTCTTAGCTTTCCTCATGGTAACCCCATGCACACCAGAGTAAAATGTCGTTCAGTCCTAGACTATATTCTTATGACTGGTTGTTGATCAGATCATTTTCATAGGCTGATTTCTGCAAACAGACCATCAGGCCTTTATTTCCTAGTCTGTCTTAGTCTATAGAAGCTCCCCTACAACTTCTTCAGGAACACACAGTCCTCCATTGACAAGACAGATAATGCATGATGTGCACTGGCCAGGGATCAAACCCAGGTATCCCACAAGGGAAGCCAGAATCCTACCACTAAAACACCCCTGCTCCCTGAAATCACAGTAAATCCCTCAAAAAGCAAAACAAGAAGCAAACTGAAAACAATTCAGAACCACAAGCTTGCAAAAAAAGTCTATAAACTGTATTTTAGTCTTTCATTGTAATATTTACTTAAGGATTTAATAAGTACATATTTTTAGGTCCTTATGTATATTAAAAATTATTTTTTTTAAAATCTTCTGCTTAGTGTACTCCTTGCTTTCTTAGTAGTATAATTAGACAATTTACTTTGAGATTTTTCTTCATTAGAAAAACTGGCCCTTAAATATATCCCATTTAATTTTGCCTTTTCCTAAATTTTCATATGAGGGGAAAATGTTATTTCTAAAAACCAGGCTTCTTAAATGAGACTAAGAGTATTTCTTGAATACTGAAAGTATTAGAAGGTTCAAGCAACACAGAGCTACCATCAGGGAGAACTTTACATTAGTGCAAGAAAAGACTCCAAGCCTTTACAATGGTTGAAACGCTGCTTGGGCAGCTAGTAGAAGGGGACTGAAATGCAGAATTTGTTGCCACCAGGAGTTGATTCAATCAAGTACTGCTGTTGTTAAGATCCACTGAGTCGATTCCAACTAAGGGTGACCCTATACACAACAGAAGGAAACACTCCTCACAATTGTTACATTTGAGTCCACTACTGCTGACACAGGGTCAACATTATCTCACTGGGGGGGTGGGGGTGGGGGGTGGTTCTCCCTCTTTTTCCCTGAGCCACCACTTTATCAGTCATGATGTGCTTCTCCAGGGATTGGTCCCTCCTGATAATACATCCAAAATATAAGAGATGAAGTCTCATCATCCAGGATTCGAAGGAGCATTCTGGCTGTACTTTCAACATAGATTTGTTTGTTCTTCTGGCAATCCATGGTATTTTCAATATTTGTCCCCAACACCATAAACTCAAATGCATCAATTCTTCCATGGTCATCTATATTCATTGTTCAACTTACACATGCATTGTTGTTGTTAAGTGCCACTGAATCAGTTCCGGCTCATAGCAATCCTGTATAGGGTTTATTGAGGCTGTAAATATTTACAAAAACAGAAAACCTCATCTTTCTTCCACAAAGCTACTGCTAGATTCAAACTGCTGACCTTGAGGGTTAGCAGCCCAGTTCAGTTTGTAATCCACTAAGATACCAGGGCTCCTTTTCACATGCATGAGGCTATTAAAAATACCACGGCTTAGTCCTCAAACTGACACTTTAAAGAAGTCTTGTGCAGCAGATATGCCTAATGCAATACATCATCTGCTTACCTGACCGCTTATTTCCATGTGTGTGGATGTGGTTGTTGAGTGCCATGGAGTCAATTCTGACCCATAGCAACCCTGTATAGAGCTTCCAAAGAGCAGCTGATGAGTTTGAACCGCCGACCTTGCAGTTCAAATGGCTTTGCAGTCTGGTGGAGGCAAGCAAAATGAAGTCTTTCCTCCACTTACTATGATGTTATTTATTGGTCCAATTGGGAGGATCTCTTTTTCTTTATATTGAGGTACAATCCATACTGAAGGGTATGGTCTTTGATCTTCATCATTAAGTATTTTAAGTCCTCTTTACTTTCAGCAAGCAAGGTTGTATCATCTGCATATCACAGGTTGTTAATAAGTTCTCCTCCAATCCTGAGTGAGTTTCTTCTTCATACAATTCAGCATCTCAGATTATTTGCTGAGTATACAGACTGAATATGTATAGTGAAAGAATACAGACCTGGTACATAACTTTCCTGATTTTAAACCATTCAGTACCACTTTGTTTTGTATAAAATGATTGCTTCTTTATCTATGTATAGGTTTCTCATTAGCCCAATCAAGTGTTCTGGATTGTTTCAATGTTCAATATTCTGCTGTGATCTGACAGTATTCTGCTGCTATTCCCAAGGGTTTCAGTTGCAAACCAGTCAGAAGTGGTCTGCTGCTCCTTTTCCCTAGTCTGTCTTAGTCAGGAAGCTCCGCTAAGACCTGTTCACCTGCTGGTATTTAAAATACTGAAGACATAACTTCCAGCATAAATTGCGTAGGGGTGGGTTTGTTTCAAAATGAGGGCAAATTTACATAACATTAGAGAGCAAGAAACTCTCCTAGCTCAGGTACTGCCTGAAAACATACAGATTTCTGCAGAATACTTGACAGAAAGCACCAGTGTAACTGCCCTGTGAACTGAAGGAGCCATTAATGATTGACAATTTTTACTTTCAAAGACTGACAAACAATTGTTATTCCAATAAAAGATTACTTGAAAATGAATGAAGAAAACTTACCATTTGAAAGAAACAAGAGATAGTATTTATTAACAATAATAAAATTCAAAGTTCAAGCAAAATTAGTTTTAGAAAATTTGTCCACTACCATGAACTTGACAGCTTCCACAGAGTCTTCTAATAAAACTAATGAAGATATTAATGAATTAATGTTCTGATACTGTATAATTAAATGTATCAACATTAAAAAAAAAAAAAAAAGTGACGCAACTATTGGTCTCTCCCCATCTGATGCAAAGAGAAGTGAATAAAATCAGAGACACAATCAGTTGGATGTAAACAGTTCAGTGACTGATGGACCAAGTGAACATCAACCCCCACGACCAAGACCAGAAGAACTAGATGGTGCCCAGCTACCACTACTAACTGTTCTAAAAGGAATCACATTAGAAGGTCCTAAGATAGAGTGCGAGAAAATGTAGCACAAAACACAAAAGTCATAAAAATAAATAAATATACCACGTTGACCGGTTGGAGATCGACTAGTGAACGCTCAGACTATGGTCCTTCGTCACCCCTTCAGACTTAGAACTGAACTCATACCCCTTGACTCAATTATCAGCTAAACTATAGTCCTGGTATGATATAGGATAAGCACTGGACTGCTAACAAGGCTGGCGGTTCAATCCCACCAGTCGCTTCTCAGAATCCCTATACAGGTTCACTGTGAATCAGATCCTACTGAACATGCTCAGCATATCTCAAGCCAAAGGAATTGAAAAAATTCAAGCCTCAACTTGAAATACTGAAGGATTCTATGGGTAAAATATTGTAAGATGCAGAAAGCTTCACAAGCAGATGGAAGGAATATATAAAGTCATTGTACCAAACCAGTCAATATTCAACCATTTCAAGAGGTAGCATACAATCAAGAGCCAATGACAGTGAAGGAAGAAGTCCAAGGTGCATTGGAGGCTTTGGCAAAGAACAAGGTTCTGGGAATTGATGGAATACAAATTGAAATCTTTCAGTAGAATGCAGCAGTGGAGGCACTCACTCATCCATGCCACGAAATCTGAAAGACAACTACCTGGCCAACTGATTGAAATTATCAAAGACTTCATTTTGCTCAGCTCAACTATCAACACTCAGGGAAGCGGCAATCATGAAATCAAACAACATATTGCATTAATAAATCTGCTGTACAAGATAGCTTTAATGTGTTCAAGAGGAAAGATGTGAATTTGAGGACTAAGATTTGCCTGACCCAAGCCATGGTATTTTCAATAGCCTCACATGCGTGTAAAAGTTGTACAGTGAATAAGAAAGACCGTCGAAGAATTAATACATTTGAATTATGGTATTGGAGGAGAATATTAAAAGTACCACAGACTGCCAAGAGAACAAACAGATCTGTGTTGAAGAAGTACAGCCAGAATGCTCCTTGAAAGCCTGCATGGCCAGACTTCATCTCTCATGTTGTTGTTGTTAAGTACTGTGGAGTTGGTTCCAACTCATAGTTACCCTGCACAGAGTTTCTGAAGCTGTAAATCTTTACAGGAGCAAAAAGCCTCATCTTTCTCCTGCAGAATGGCTGGTAGTTTTGAACTACAGACCTTGAGGTTAGCAGCCCGATTTGTAACCACTACACTACCAGAGCCATCTCTCATACTTATGACATATTATCAGGAGGGACCCAGTCCCTAGAGAAAGATACCATGTTTAGTAAAGTAAAGGGTCGGAGAAAAAGAAGAAGACTCCCAATAAGATGGATTGGCACAGAGGCAGAAGTAATGGGTTCAAACGTAGCAACGATGGTGAGGTTGGCACAGGACCAGGCAGTGTCTCTCATTCTATTTTGCATAAGGTCTCTATGAGTAGGTACCAACTCAATGGCACCTAACAACAACAGAGATCCAAAGGCAGCATTTACTCAAGAACAAAGTTCAGAAAGGTTGGAAAGGAAGAATTAAAATGGGAAAATACAGGAGAAAAGTGGGATAAGTAATGTTATACTGTAGAGAACTGTAATCAATGACATGAAACAAAATGTGAATGAAAAAATGATCAATGTTGCAGGGGAAACAGATTTGCTCTGTAAACCTTCATCCAATTAAAAATA